TATGGTAGTATACAGAGCTAGTGCAGATGCAAGAAAGGAGAAAGTTCGACTATCGTAAAATTTAAAAATTATACAACGCATATAGCATTAAAAGATTTCAAAAAATTTCTCTGCGAAATGCACTAGCTTTGTCTATAAAAACACTAACTAAAAACATTATGTCGAAAAGAACATGTTTTCATAATGCTTATCATAGCTTTTAATTTCTTATCATTGCCAACTCGCTGACCCAAACATGGGCTCAATGAAGCATATCACGCGGCTTTCTTCTCGCACTCTTCCCAATTTTTCGCAGCCATGACCGCGGCTCGGGAAGAGAAGAACTTTAGAGTTGACGGCACTCAGGAGCGGGTGATCGCTATCACGATAAGATGCGCCTTGACAGCTCTGGCAATCGTCCTCAGCCACTCACTTTATGTCCATAATAAAGCCGCTCGCTGGAAGAGTTTCGCACGCGGACGTAGCTGTGATCTTCGCGTCATTTATGTGCACTATTATCGAAGCAGATTAGCATTCAAGCTAGTTAACACTTTACGCGTTAATTCTATAATCAATGAATACTAACGCACGAAAAAATTGTTTTCGTATATTTTGGTTAAAGCGGTTAGCGTGTGAAATTACTGCTGGTAGGTACTGATTTTTTTTCACGTTGCAAGCCACGAAAATTAATAGTCATTCTTCAGTGAGCGTTATATCATTGTTTACAGAAATTATTCCTCATTTTTAAATCACGACTTTGTGACACGTAGAATAATGTACAATTTCTCGCAGGTATCTTTAGCCCACATATTATCTGGCATTGCACGCTGAGATCGAGGCTGTGCAAATGGAAGAGGCAGAACGGCGGTCGCTAATTAGAAGTTGGAGCGACTGAGAGCTATACAGCGAGGTGCTAATGCTTGTCTTTTTTCCTTCGCTAAATTATGTACAGCAGAAAGAATAAGCGTGCTCTCTCATTCAGGAATTTGGCTTAAGTGATGCCGGCGAGGGCGGACTGAAGTCATAGTGCCAAATTGCTACGTCCGTGACCGATCGAATGAAGTCGGACGCTGAAATGCAGATTAATGTATTTCTGACTTTAATTAGTTGGAAGATTTAAAGCTTGATAAGTAGTTGAACTTTAGCATGCAGACATTTATTTGTTGTGATTTGATCCGAGTATTATAAATTAACGGTACTTATTTTATTTATGTAAATCTAATGGTCACTTGTTGCACGAGAGAAAGGTTGATTTTTTCATGATTCGTATGGTTCGTTGGTTTGAGAGAACCAAGTTGTTACACACACAAAATTAACTTCTTTCTCATTTGAAACTTTGATGTTCGACTTTAACTATTTTTAGGTATTTATTTCCGATTATTAGTTAATATGCTTTTCAATGACAATAATGAAAGGAAGGCTGTTATGTGATCGGTAACGAGAGCAATATATTAGGGTATAACACCGTTCAGACAAGACACTTTTGCTGTTTCAAGTTTCATCTCAGAACTTGTCCGTCGTCGGCTACTCCGATGGCACTTCCGGTGATTGCCGATTTCGCGTATCCATTTGAGTCTAGTTGCACATTTGCAAAAAAATTAATAGGAATTGATAAATTTTTAAATTCGAACAATTCGCAGACAAATTGGATATATGTCGCCACTGTCTTACATTGCACACATTTAAATTAAAATTGAACCTAATTTCTGAGTGAGATTTTTTTAAAGAATGGAAATTAGCCCAGCTGGATTATGAGCGTCTCTGTATGAACTGAATTATTGCCGCAACGTTGTCCAAAAAATATATTCGAATAGTATTGCACGAGTCGTTGGCCAAGCTACTTAGTATTGTGATTGAACAATTTTACGTTGAAAGTGTAGCGATTGATCGCGCAGAAGTATCAGTAATTAAAGTGGTGCACTCATACCCGACGTACGTGTGTTATAAGAGGAGTATGAAATTAAACTAGGAAACAACTACTCGTACGTATTATCATTATATATTATCATTTGTCGTAATCAATCATCAAAATGCATACAAATATTTATTCTCATTTACTTTCTATCACATAGAACTCACTCAGTCGGTGGTTCAAGTTTTCTGGTTTAAATGACACTGTGGAGGTCAGGTCGATCAAATTTCAGAACACAGCTCTTCCGGCACGAGCCTGCTGCCGACAAGCGCTAGTGCTCCTTGAGTCCAAGTCTCACTTGTTTACGGATACTTTAATTGTAACTCAGCGACCACGCATCGCTGGACAACTTTGTCTGGCAGCGGCTGTGTATCTCCTCTTGCGGTCATCTCGTGGTTCAATGAAAGGGTTCAACCGTTCACAGGATTCGACTGTTCACAGGATTTATCCGCAACTTCTGCGTTTTAGAAGTTAATGAAAATGAAATACAATCCTTTCATAAAAGGCCTTAAGTTATAGCCATTGATAGGACCTAATGTCCGATTTGGATTTATGTCGAAGTATTTTTGTATTTTATTTCATTTCGTGGAAAGTCCTGTGGAGATCAAGAAATTCACACATCCATGAAGCAAGGTATATTAAATCACACTCGATAAACTTGATTGCCTTCAGTATCTTATGTAAGAAATTGTGCAACCGATTTTCCTGCATTGTACTTAAATCCAAAATAGTGAAGACTGTTCCGTCAGCTGCACTTCACGCTGCACGGTGTGCGGTCTGATGCCAGCCATTACACGGCGGAAACGAAGTCTTGTCCCGAGAAAGGAAGCTCCTGAACTCTACCCTCCCGACAAGCTATGTCTACGGTCACCAAAACAAACATTGTAATTAGCAAGAATATCGCAAGGTGGTCCGATTCTTCCAGAGTCTTCGAGACGAACTGGCACTGAATGATGCATTCGGCACGCTATCTGAAGTCTGACAATGTCTTTAAAGAATAATTTTTGAAACTTACATCAAGATTGCGGGGCAGGAAATCAGAGGCGTTGACAGCCCATACAGCGTAAATAGAGAATTGAGGGTTCAGAATTCGAAATAAAACCGAAAGATTTTAGGTTTTCAGAATTTGCCGTAACGGAAAAATTGAATGGCTACTGTATTTATACATTTACCTAATTATTAGGCATTTATTCTCTTCTAACATTTTAGTCTCCAAAGGTATTGGATTTTTGAGAGCGAAAATCAATGAAAATTCAAATACTCTTCCGCATAAATTTGGCACTCATTCGCTTCTAGCATATTAGTCTCTTAAGGTCTAGGATTTTTGAGAGCCAAAATCAATGAAAATTTAAATACTTTTCCAATATAAATAATTATATCACATCACTAAGTGAGAATAGAGCCGCTTCATTTAACCGGCACACTAAACGAAGAAGTATAGGCTGGGGTAGGAAGTATTATGTTGAAGTTCTTATCTAACGAACACCCGGCGGCAGCTGCCTATAACAACACACACGCGAAGAAAAAATTCAAATGAAAATATGAAACTTAACGACTTTCACGTCTCTGACATCATTTTTTGAATATTTTTAGAAATATGAAGTATTTGAACTTTAGGGAAGAGAGATGATCCAAAAAGTGTGAGGGACATTTTGTTCGTTTGGTTCTCAAATTATGGAAGTTGGATCGCGATGTCATGCAGTAAAGTGATCGAATTTAGGGTATGTATGCATGCGTGGCAGCAGCTTGAGGCGGGCCAAGTTACAACAACAATAAGGCTTTAGGGCGACGTGTCAGGCCTTATTTGACAAGCTCCCAAAGCTGTTTGCTGAGCAGCAAGTGTTCTGAAGCAGACAACGGTAAGCAGTAACGTTAGATATAAACTGTTACGCGTTCTCAGTAAGCAAAGAAGCTCGTTCGGTTTACTGATGTAGGTTGCGTTCTGGAGAGGACGTTTGCCTCGTTACATTTATAAGCGTCAACGAAGAAAGACTAAGTTATTTTCTTCCTAATGAATAATAAACTGTAATATTTGAAACATCAATTTTCTGGTGATGAAAGATGGGATGTACTTTATTTTAGGTTCTATTTATCGTTAAAATAATATACAGCAAACGTAGCTATAAACTTAAAAAAGTCCAGATATCATAGTTGAAATTCGATGCCTTCATTAGCGGTAAAATTATATCTTATCCGTTTTGACAATAACTTGGATTTATCGACATTTAATCAGGTAGTTTAATAGAGCTGCAAGACTCAATTAAAGTTTTGGACTTCTCATAATTTCCGCAAAGAATTTTCGAAAAGCCGATTGCCAAAATATAGACATTTTGAGCGCACCACGTACCTACTTGATAAACGCAATATCTCTTCAAATGATTTAGGTCTAATGAGCATCACTCTTAATTTTCGAATGAGAAAACTCGCAACGGACAACCATTTTCGATATTCACTTGTCATGGGAAACTGTCCCTCGCTAAGCCCAAGTGCAAACACGAGACTGGGGGCGCCTCCAATTAACGCCTTAACCTCCATTTTGAAGAATAATTTGTGGGTTTTTGCGTGGCTCGAGTTAGACGAAGACACCATTAATTAGAAGAAGCTTCTCCGTCATCCGAGGACAGCTCGTGTACTCAAGAAGCTTCGTTAATTGACCGCAAGAGTGAGCTGCCGACGCACGAGCGCCGTACTCCTAGACAGAAGCAGGCAACCGCGAGAAATACGAGACTGGAGCTGCGGTGACGTGGTCAGGGTGCCGAGGGGCTGCAGAAGATGAGGGCTCTCTTTTCAAATGTAAGGGAATTCGAGGAAAACTTTGTTCCTATATTATATCGAGTCGCTTACAGCACTCTTAAATGCAGAAAAATATTTTTCAATATCAATCTATTTAAAATAATTTGTTAATTCTTTTGAATATAGGTGGTAAAATTACATCGCTTTTCTCAGTACTGCTTGGTTCAGTTTTCACATATTGCTTCTTAACTTATGTTGCTCAAGTAGAGAATACATAAGCCAATGATTCTGTTTACGTAATTCGGGTCATGCGAGGAAATACTAGCAAATAAATCTTCGAAAGGTAATTAGCTTATATTAAAAGAAATGCAACACGGATAAGAAATTAATATATTTTTGCAGAAGAAAGATGCGTTATGAAAAGTTTCCGAAATACGGAAAATAGTCGCAGTGTCTGAGTCAAAATTCACATTGGCGTAACAATACAATTATTATCGTTAATGTCTTCCAAAAATAAAAGATATAGTGAAGTAAAAATGAATCGACACGCACGATGAGTATTTGAGATAAAGAAAAAAAATTTTTAAATCGATATTCGGTAAACACGGGTGTAATCGATCATAGGTTTCGAGGTAAAGTATTTTAATGAAATGATGAGTATTAGTTACTTATCAGTAAATTAACTGAATATTAATATAAATAAACAGCACGCTCTATTTCGTCAATGAACATAACTCATAATTCACAGATTGAAGAAATAAATGTAATTCAAAACTGAAGCGGGTGCTGGCCGAACGTTGCGGTAGCATGGCATGAATGGCATTAAAGAAGCAGCCAAGTTGTATTTCAATGCGCGGCGAAAAATGTCACTCATTTGACAGTTGAAATATTGCATCACAAGAATTGAATTATATGCCACTTTTAAACGCCAAGCTCATTTTCTCGTGGTGCCAATCTTACGTGTAGAATTATCATTCATTATTATCCCGAGGAGACTATAGAAACTATTTCATAAATGCGTGAAAATGAAGATTTTTTTAAATGGGGCCAAAAAATATGCGGCCTGAAAAACTTGTGTATTTGAATGCATTGGTAACAGTGCGTCTTGAAGGTCGTGCGTGCAGTACCAGGCATCAAATGACGGAAACGGCTGGATTTAAAACAAAAATTGCATCAAAAAACGTGGCAAAATATTCCCCTATTCCCACAACCACAACATGGCTGATGAGTCAAAAATAAATTAGTTACTACATCATCAAATAAGGTGCAACGGCACAGAAACAAAGGAGATAACAAAAGCAGCCGCTCAATTCCTCTTTACACACACGTAACCGACGCGCTGCAAGAGAAATAAAGCTATTCCTAGGGAAGAGCGAACTTTAAATTAAAGCGTCAACTGTCAGCAAAAATGACGACTTTAATTATTACCGGACTTTCCCTTGGCTTTTTTATTCTTCTTCTTTATATTTCGTTTATCAAGAAGGCTGGACTTGGACGGGAGAGAAGCTTGTTGCTGATCGGAAGAATCATCTTTGTCGGAGACATTTTTTGCCTTGGAATTGACGGAATGAACCATCTTAAAATCATTGAGATCGCTCGCGTAGTTATCAGTATCGTCAGCATCTCCACAGTATCCTTCAGTATCTCCGTCGTGATCAGTGACGTTAACATCAGTGTCTGTATCGGGATCAAAATCATCAGTGTCCGCGTCTGCGTTGTAGTCCTCAGTGTCAACAGCGTCAGTGTCGCTGACGTTAAACCGAACTCGCTGATGGCCACGCAGCTGATCATCGTTTTTCTGAGCAGATGATTTCGACGAGGCTCCTTCAGTGCAGTCAGAGCTGTCGATGACACAAAATCCGCTGCTGTCTTCGTCATCGAGAGATCGAGGACTAGATTCCTCGGCTCCTGGAGATTTATCAGCGCCTTTTGAACTGGAATTCTTGCGATTGCGCTTCTTTTTCTTCTGGGACTTCATCCCGATGACCGAAGCGTCCGTCTTGCGGGTGACCCAAGGCCCCTGAAGGTCGGTTCCAGTCTGCTCGAGTTTCAGGTTCAGGAGATTTTCGGGAAGACTTGAACCTGGTTCATCGTGGTTCTGTAATGAATCCAGAACAGCTAGGCAACTTCGAAATCGCTGAAAATTATGAATTTGTACAACTGTTTTATATTCCGATATAAAATTAACAAATAAGCGGAATAGGAAGACCATAAATTTCTTCGAATTTAAGACAGTAAGTCCCAGAACTGTGATAATGATAATTTTCCATCAGAAGGCGAAAAACAAATTACGATTTCTAAACTGGAGACGCTTGTTCGTTATTGTTATAAGCGAAATTGATTCCCGATGCTTAAATTGATATAGACTAAGATGGCATCAAAACACGGGTCATTGTACATCAATGCTTTTCTGAACAGAGATTCATTACCAATGAGTTAGCCCACATAAATAGGCGGTGGCAGTTTCAGGGTCATGACACAAACAGGAAGTTGTAGCAAAGTAAGATAAAAGTGAAGCGTGGCGAAGGCATGATTCTTCTCTTTAAATTTTATAACAAATATTTGGGCTAATGCAATCAATATAAAAAAATCAATTATGCAATAACGAACAAGTTTGCACTATTCTTTGCTCTTGCAATCATTTCCAAACGATGTATAAGCGTCATTTTTCATGAAGTCTAAAGTAACTTATGAACAGAGCAATAATGCGGGCAGATTTGAAGCAATGTTAATCCAGTGCTAGAGCACATCGCGGAAAGTCACATTAAAAATCATGTTAAGAGCACGACACCTGAGAAACTTAGCAGAAATTCAGGTACGCTTGGCATTATCACAAAATAAAAACCACGCGAAAATCTTAGAAACATTACGTTACGAACAATTAGGTGCGATCGGCATAACTATCAATTGAAGCTATGTAAATATGTTAAAAATATGACATCACGAACAATCAGGTGCGATTGGCATAACCATCAATAAAATGTACGTAAATATGATAAAAAAATATTACGTTACGAACAATCTGGTGCGATTGGCATAACCTTCAATAAAATCTACGTAAGACGCTAAAAATATTACGTTACGAACTATTAGGTGCGATCGGCATAACTGTCAATTGAAGCCACGTAAATACGATAAAAATATTAAGTTACGAACGATTTTTGGCGATTGGCACAACCATCAATTAAATCTACATAAATACGATAAAAAATATTACGTCGCACAACAGAAATTAGCAAACCTTGGGGTTGAGCCGCTGCTGCGAGGCGCTCCAGAGGAACTCGTAGACGGCGTCGTCATAGCAGTCGCTGCCGCGCCACATGTCCAGCTCGTGCTCCCGAGCTGAGACCTGCAGCGATACAAGCTATTAGTGGGCGTGGACATTTATAGGGCATTATGTGCATTACACTTGAATGTCACGATGCACATCACACTTATAGGACACGATGTGCATCACACGTGCGCTGTACATGACACGTGGGCGTGCAAATTTGTAAAATATCGAGCGAAAGACGAAATCAGTTTCTAATTTATCCTACACAAATTTTGCACAATCATTCCTGGATCATTGATCTCGGTCCTATTCAAAGTTGCACAATTTTTCGTCTAGCTGCGACAGAATAGTAATGAATGAACGATATGTACAGTTGGATTAATTATTAAACGTACTATAAATTTCTATAGCACCAAATTACAAAAAATATATATATTTCACACTCAAAATTCAAGAATTCTAAAGCTTAAATACGTTTTTTGAGCTCAAGATCGCTATTTTAGTCGTGAGTATCATGCTCAATAATAATGTAGAAAAGAATGTAACTAGTGAGCAGGACAGACTTGTTCAGTGTTGGTCATGAAGGCGCTGCGGCGGATGTCCAGTTTGGTGATGGACTCGAGCAGCTCGAGGCCAGTCTGCACGCCTGCTTTTTTAAGTATTTTATTTTCTCCTTTTTAGTCCGTTGCTACACATGGAAAACGTTGTTGCGAGCCAATTTACTTGACTTGACGTACGTATCGATGATACGCAGCGTCAACGCCTGCTTGTCTATAACGTCAGCGCCCGCACGTCATACTACCATATATATACTATATATATAAACTTTACTCAATTAAGCTAATTTAGGTCTCTAATTGCTAGTTTTTATGATTGTATCTAAAATTGTTAGGCAAAAATAGCCTGCATGCCAAATTTCAGATCTCTAGAGCAATCAGAAGTGGGCTAATTTTTGTTGTCAACGTTAACAACAAACAAATCCACAAAAAAACAAACAAACAAACGCAAAGCCAAGTTAAGAAAAACGTGTTAAAAATAATGTAAATAGTCAGCAGGACAGACTTGTTCAGTGTTGGTCGTATCATGAGTATCACGCTCAATAATAATGTAGAAAATAATGTAACTAGTGTTACATTATTCGTTTGGACAGACTTGTTCAGTGTTGGTCATGAAGGCGCTGCGGCGGATGTCCAGTTTGGTGATGGACTCGAGCAGCTCGAGGCCAGTCTGCACGCCTGCCACGCCGCGGCGTCGGAAGAAGCTAAGCAACCACACACAAAAGATTAATAAATTTATAGTATTCGTCTGTGGCAGGTTCTTGTTCAGTGATTAGATGCTCATTATTAGTATTATCAAGGAAAAAATAATTATACCTTTATGTATTTTGAATAATTATCGGCATATTCAAATGAACGGATAGGTTTTTTATTTATCTTTGATTTTTGAGCAAATGAATAGGTACATTTTTTTTACTCGTTGCAGTTTTTGGTTCACGACAGTCTTGTCTGAAACGAATTAACAGAGTAAAGAAGACATTTTGCCCTAGAAATTTACCTGATTGATCTCAAATATTGAATTATTTTAAACTTCAATCTATCTCATAGCCCTCCTTTGAATGCATGAGGCGCTTGAACTATTATTTATAAAGAAAATCCTAATTCTGTATAAGCTGCACTAATCTCATGCAGCTTGACACTCATCTAATTACTCAAGTATAGAGTAATCTAATAAGTAATCTCTCATCCAATTACTCAAGCGAACTAAACCACAGGTCATAATTCTATTTTCTGGTCTTGCGTCAAATGTAATTTGAGAAGATCTTCGCCTGTGACTGACTTAGCGACGTTGCAGAGGTCCCTGTAAAGGTAACTCAGAGCTCGGGGGTGTGCGAGGTCCACAGCCTGCGCGAAGTCGATGACGTAGACCGTGCCTTGGTAGTACAGCAAATTGTACTCGCTCAGGTCGGCGTGCACCAGGCGACACTTGTTCACCAGCACCTCCACTATCTGTGTAGTATTAGAATTTACGTTAAGGCGGCAACACTAACATCACTTCCCCACAACACATTGAGAATAGCGAACAAGTGGTTTGATTCAAGTCTAACGGCATTAATTGAGTCTAACGGCATTAATTAAGTCTAACGGCATTAATTAAGTCTAACGGCATTAATATTTTCACTAATACAGAATATTAGTGATCATTCACACACTGCATGTAATTTAGAAGGCATTACAAATAACGACAATTTTTTCACAATATAAATTCTCGATATCGGAAATAATCATCGAGATCAAGATGTATAATCGCAAAGAGAAAGAAAATAATTTTTGATATAAATGTAGAAGATAGACTTGCACCTTCATCGGCAGTAAGTTGCCGTAGGATGTAAATATTAATTACAAAATCCTTTTGTTTATTGCACGAGATATGACCTGGAAAGTTTGCAATCCTTATGTTTATTGCAGCGAGATGTGACCTGGATAGTTTGCAATCCTTATAAATGTTTATAGCAGCGAGATATGACCTGGATAGTTTGCTCGTAGGCAAGTTGCCAGTTGGCTGCTGAGAGCTGAACATTGCGCAGCTGAGGAGCGGGCAGGTCAGGGTCACCAATGAGGCTCATGACGAGGAGGTTGTGGCGCACCACGATAGGCACGGGGCACGGCACTCCTGCTGTGGAGGCGCGACACAAGTTGCGGTATTCCTTCTCCACCCACAGCTTGATGTTCTGCCACGAAATAAAAATGAGCATTAAAATTAAGCAATAACAGTATAAAATATAATAAATATACTTCACTCTTTGTTTGCCCATAGCTTCATGATGGAGATGCGTTAACCCTTCTGCATGCATAGGAAATTTGAAATTTAGAAGAATAAGAGCAATAATAAGGTACATTTATCCATAGTTTTAATCGAATTTTAATCACAGGTAATCGAATTTTAATAATCGAACTTGAAGTTTTCGAAAATATGGTCATTACCCTAAAAAAAATGGTAAAGTGTGAACTTTCATATCTAATTATAAAGAAAAAAATATCTAGCTTCAATATAGTTCTATATCCACGTTTTTGCTGGGTTTAATTGTCGAGACAGTGCATCATCTGTGCTTTGAAAACGTGCGGAAAGAGTGTTAAATTTTGGTGTCGTGGCCAGAAATTTAATTCCTATATTTCAACCTTAAAATGGCAAGGTGTGATACTATGTACATAGCATGAGGGAATGTAATTGGTGGTGGCTTAGGCAGAATAAAGTAACCTCAAGCATATAGCGGAGACGAGGTGAGTCTCTTAAGAATATTTCAAGTTACCCTCGATAGCAACGTGCCCGCTAAAAGGTAAACTACACAATTGACGTGAAAAACTAGTTGAAACCTTATAAATTAATTTTCTTCGGAAATTAAAAGACACAAATATACTTGTACGGTAAAAATTCATGCATGAAACGAGGTGGTAATGTAGTTTATTGAATGAATGTACTTTCACAGAATGACACGCTGATGAAGGAATGTCTGATTTCCGCCTGACACGAGTAACCGGAGCAATATTGTCACAAGCCCACGTCCCAAAAGGGATATACGTTCTAGTGAGCGCAAAATTACTTGCACTGATGGTTGCCGCCACGTACGACAACTTTAAAATGCTCTCTGTTGCGTACAAACGTCCTCAGGTTGCTACACTCAATAGTTTACGTATAATTAAGTTGAAAGTTCCCGGGAGAGCGACATACGGCGATAGAGTGGTGAATAGAACTCATCCAACACAGATCCAAATTATAAGCTAAGTATTCAAAGAGAGGTTGAAGAGGATGATTGGTAACAGACCGTCCGCCGATGGCATGGTAGACGATGGCTTCTTTGCCAGAACTGATGACGCCACCGAGCTCCTCCAGCTGCTCGGAGTTAACCAGAGCGAGCAACGTTACGCTCGTCCCTTCGTCCATGTGCGCTCCCACAGTGCCCTTCTCGGCCTGTCCACAACATACAAATATCACTACACGATATTCAATTCCTGGAGATAATTGAAATGAATTTTAAAAATCGCTAAAGAATTCAACCACTCAAGTTTCAACACCTCCACATAGTCGGTTTGAACATTTGCTTCAGCTTCCATACCTAGTAACTAGTCATGCCAAAATACTAGAGAAACCATGCAGACCATTGTCATTATGGAGAACAGTGCGAGTGCTCCAACTAAAAAAAATAGATTTCAGTGGCATCACCAAGCCAATAATTATGCAGCAGCTTCTGATATAATTACTTTACACATAAATTATTAATTGAGAGACCAACCTTGTCATGCACCCGTTGCTTTCTACGAGTGTCTGCATGAAGGCTTTCCCTGAGTTGGTTGTAAACCTGAGAGAACATAAAAAACTTTAGAATACATTCACAGTATAATTAAAATTCTTACGGTACCTATATACTGCAGAACCCTAATGGAAAGGACCTGAAAACTCTTAAATCAACTAATATACGCGAAGAATTCCAATTGTTCCCATTTATATTAACCACCCCATTTCCTTAGAGAACGTCAACTTGTGATGAAAGTTGAAGTTTTCAGGAATTTTTCAAGTTGTCTTGAATTTTCTAAGTTGTCTTGGATTTTTTAAGTTGTCTTGAATTTTTTAAGTTGTCTTGAATTTTTCAAGTTGTCTTGAATTTTTCAAGTTGTCTTGAATTTTTTTACAGTTGTCTTGAATTTTTTACATTTGTTTTGAAGGAATCTCATGCCTAGCAAAAGGCTCATTCAGTAATGATGTTAACTTTTTTTGACTCAAGGCACCCACCTTGTTGGACATGCTGATAGCAAAGCCCCCAGCATCGCCTGTGTTGACGTCAAGAGGGAGATGGCTGAGCATCTTCTTGGCATTCTTACGAGAGTTGATGACACTGTCATGCTTCGTGATGAGCTTGCCGTAGTGCTCTACATAGCCACAGCTCGGGATCACAGGCTCCTCGAGTTCACCCACCTTATCAACACAAATTATAAATTAACATGAGCATTGAAATAATATTTTATCATCTAGATACTGATATTGCAAAATAGGCTAAAAATCAAACCTGATACTGTAAAATAGGTTACAAATACATAGCAGGAATAGACGAAAAAACAAACATCATGAATGTAAAGTGAAAATGGTGTATAAAAGCTATAAGTTACATATACATATATCTATGGTTGATAAGTATGTCATGGAAATGTTATTCTGAGAATATGACATTCCTATTTAAGGTAGAGGAAATGAAAACTTTTTGGGGGTCTCGATTAGGATTAATTCACTTGTCACAATAGACCATGAGTAAAACACAAAAACGACATCAACTGGAAAAAATAATACAAAGAGAAAATGGTAGAAAATTAGCATGTTTCACGAACATTGTGTGCAAAATTTTATCCTTCCTGATATCACTTAAATTACAAAGTTAACAAAACTTATCTTAAAGTATGTAGGTATGTCAAATAAAAAAAAACTGGGATAGCATTCCAAATTTCAGACTTCTATCTTATTCAAGAGAGGAGTTATAGTTTGAAGAAATAGTGAACTCCATAGGACTCAACATGGCCAGACTGCAATACCTCAGTCTCTTAAGACAGAATAAAGAAGGCTTATGTGTTTGTCAAGATTCTCACTTCAATTTCATCAATGGGGTCATCTTCTTTGCGGAAGTTATCAATGTTCTCAGAAGCAAATGAAGGTAGGAGCTTATACTTGTTGTAACTGATGCTCACTGCACATGTCACATGAAATTAATTTGGATTAATTGACTAGTTTAGAATGTTCAGTACGGTACTTGCACCTTATAACTGAACCAGACTAGTAGAAAAAACATCAAATGGAGGAAAGGCCATAAGTAGTGCACTTCAGGCCCAAATCAAAGCTCTACAATATATTTACAAAACAAATGCATCATAAGTGAGAGTTATTAAGTAATTTGATGAATAACAAGTTTAAAATTAATGTAATTATCAAAGACATTTGAACCAAACCTTCATAAAATTAATTGTGCATCAACCATTTTGACAATTATAGTAATGGCAATGTAAGAAGGTGCAGGGGCTTTAGAATGAAAATTAATATGAGGCAACTTACGCTTAGAATTTTTGTTTGCATGACGTTGAGTGCGCTCTATGTTCATGTCATGCTCCAGGTCAAACTCATACTGTAACATTTGTGCTAGCATGTGGTCATTTGCAGTTGAATCACCATCCACTGCACAAGCTGATGGAACAATTACTGATGCAGATGTATCATGGGATGATAGCAAAGTGTTGGGTGATGTTGACAAAGAGTTGCTGGTGCAACCGCTGGATGAAATCCCTGCTTCAGGCTGAACTCCTGATGTCAACTTGTAGTAATGACTGGAACCATTACAATCCAAAATTACACAAAGTGGTTAAAATGCATAGAAAACTTGCATACAGTAACTAGAATATTTAAACAATTGACTACCTATCTTGAACAGGCAAAATCAAAACAGGTAGGAGTAAACTAGCAAGAAAACATCAAAAAATATGGCACATTAATCAACAGTCATGCAGACCTTTCAAGAAACTCTCTCTGTCAAAAAAAGGGCCCAACATAACTTATCTGATATTCTTGTCAACTCACATGGCTTGATTTCTCATTAATTTCTCTGTTTCCTCCAACTCAAGCTTCTCAGCCAAGTCTTCTGACTGGATGAAACTGAAAGTTGCTCTGGACTTGGATTTCTCAGTAGGAGCCCAGCTTGATGGGTTTTCCTTGCTTGAAGAAGCTTGTATGGGAACCATTCCTGCTCCTCCCCAAGCCAATTTTGGAGGACTGGGCACATCAGAACCTGCCAGAGATAGAAAATGAATTTATGAAAAAAATGTATTTGTTTAACAGAATTATTTGAACAGTCATCATGAACTACTAGGTATAAATCAATCATGCGTCAATAGAACTCAGAATAAATAAAAACATTCTAATCTTTATTGACTTGCTGCACATGAGTAACCAAGAAAACATTAAATACTAATTTATTTTTATTCAAATTTATAACAAGACATTACAGAATAAGCATAGTCAAGATTTGAGAACAAACTCACCCAACGAACAAGTTGCTGTGGAGCAATTGCTACCAGCAATGATGGTGCTTTCTCCGGGTAAAACAGTTTCACCACAAAAAGCCATTTCTGTGAGTACCTACTTGCCAAGCAATATTTAAAATTGGAATCTTACCAAAACTATACACAATTAAAACAATATCTGGAATAGAAAAAAAAAATTTCATCCACACATGTGTATATTAGTATTAGAAGGCAGATTTAGCTTGTTTAAACTAGGGCAGTTGATGACTATAGAATTCATTGATTTAAATTTTCAGGGTAGAAAAATTCTACAGATGACATTGGAAGCAATGAATACTGAAATTTTGGTGGAAGCAAGTACATGATACACGTAAATATAGAATAGAATAGAATGGAGGTGTTGGAACTGAAGAAGGAGGCCAATGGCCAGTTGCCGATTCATGTACTTTTTATGATTTGATTCACAAGGGAACCTTTGGAACCAAATCTTTCCATAACTGACGATTGATTGAGATAGCTGCTGTACTTATTGCCTGGTCCGTAAGGTGCTAGGCATTTCAAGACTGCACATATGCTCCTGCAGTCCTGTATAGCTTTTTATATAGTCTGTTCTTGAAAGCGTTCAAACTTGGAGTGTATGATACAACATGAAAATTTGGACATGGGAAAATAATTCAAGGCAATCTCAAAGTACAAAAAATCCAGTAGTTCTGATAGCTGGAGTCCAGTCCATGATGGCTTCAGCTATTGTCATTCATTTGGGTGATGTCGGGTCACTCCATGAAGATGAAGGCTATTGGAGGAGCAGGAGAGGTCCCTACGCTCATATTGGAGTGCGCGAGCAAGCACGCTCCTATTTTTGGCCACCATGCTCCTCAATTACATAGGTACATGGTCATTTACATGGCTTTCAGAATGCCACAATAGCCCACCCTAGTTTAAACATGTGATATGTTATAGAAATTAAATATATTAGTGTGGTAATTTGCAATAATGCAACTAGGATTATTTGAAATTTTTAATGGTCTTAAATGTGAAAAAAATAACTTTCATAGCTGCACCTAACCTCACCGGCAGTGTGGAATTCTAGAGGGATATTAAATTTACCATAAAAGGGGGGTAACTTTGACTCTCAGGGTAACTTTGACCACTTTTAGTTTTTCTATCAAAAAACCCCAAAACTTAAAAACTATTTGACATAGAATAATTTTGTCAATGGGCATTAAAGGCCTAATACTGAGGCTACGTAACACAATAGAAAGATAAAAAAATTAGGCATATCTAACAGGTTAAAAAATGAAAAATGTGACCCACGAAAAAGAGCTATTATTTAAAGCCTGTCGCAGAACCCCCTCCAATTTTTTTATTTTTTCGGTAAAATAACTCCAGGTTTTAGTGCATTGTAATAGAACTCTTCTAGTTACATATGCAAATGACAAATTTGAGGGAAGTGTCATAGTTTGCAAATGGGGGGTGCTGCCTCCCAATGGGGGAACTTGGACCACCTAATGTCAGCCCTGACGGGGTACAGGGTACTAATATAGACCGGCTTGGAAATTAATTTAAAATTACCATATATAACATATTTTATGTTTGATACACCTATTAATGTTTTTTTCTTTATGTTTCAGACTCTATAGAGTCTTATATATGCTAATTTTAACTTGATTTCCAAGCCGGTCAATATTATCCCGTCACAGCTGACATTAGGTGGTCTAAGTTCCCCCATCTGGGGGCGGCGCTCCCCCATTTGCAAACTATGACACTTTCCTCAAGTTTGTCATTTGCATATGTAACTAGAAGAGTTCTACTACAATGCACCAAAACCTGGAGTTATTTGGAGTTATTTTACCAAAAATATAATTGATTTTACTACACATTTAGATTGAAATTCTTGCATTTAATATATTTGTCAGTCTTCGGCCAACTATTTAAAAAAAATTAAGGTTTCCGATATGTTGGATGGATCAGGATGCAGTGAAGCTTGTCCGGACTCCGGAAAGGGGAAATCAGTGGCAATGAGTTCCTGCCAAAAAAAATGTAAACATCAAGCTTACGATTACGTAGTTGCGGTCACATTAGAGTGATCAGACTTCATTAACACATGTTCAGTTGACACTTGCTGTACAATCAGACTGTTTTTAGGGTAAAATTAGTTATTTGGGGTAACGTGTGCATGCAACCTTGTAAATAAGTTCGTGGCTTGTAAATAGTTTTTCATTTCTCAGCGTAAATGGCTTTTCATTAAAAATTACCCGGCAATGCTTAGGGCTTAAAAACCCATATATTGGCGACGCTGCATCCACCCTCTGCGCCCTGGTCAGACTCTGTAGAGTCTTATATATGCTAATTTTAACTTAACTTCCAAGCTGGTCAATATTATCCTGTCACAGCTGACATTAGGTGGTCCAAGTTCCCCCATCCGGGGGCGGAGCTCCCCCATTTGCAAACTATGACACTTTCCTCAAGTTTATCATTTGCATATGTAACTAGAAGAGTTCTACTGTTCTACTACAATGCACCAAAACCTGGAGTTATTTGGAGTTATTTTACTAAAAAGTATAATTGATTTTACCACCCAGTCTAAGATACCCCAAGAGCTGGTGTAACAAAGACCATCACTTTTTTTGAAATTACACAAAGACTATGAGAGGCAGGAGGCCAGGAGCCAGCAATCTATGATGAGTGAAGCTAGAGTATAGACCTGTATTTTGCACGTTTCAATTCAAGTTTAATTTAGCTAATAAAAAAATGGCATCATTTATAAAAAAAAGTGGTCTAAGTTACCCCATTTTATGGTATACAATTTGTCCACTTTTGATCCTCCTTTCTCTTATAGTTAGACATTAGTTACCTGGCACTGGCAGTGGCAGAGCAGTAGAGCACTGTATCCATGGTGCAATTCTATAGGTTATTCAAAAGAACCTGGTCTTATGTCATTTTGAACCGATCAACGCTTCTTTACGGACCGATCATAAAACACACCTTCACCAGCAAAAGCTTTCACACTTCTGAAGAGAGGTGAGCTGAGCAGCTGACAGCTACACTGGCCGTGGGTGGGCCTTATTTGAATTTGAATGCATGCATCGATTTGAAATCCTATACGCGTAGTATACAAGTCATAGAACCTAAATTTTTAATGTCTATGTAAAAAAATGTACGTTTCTGCATGGATTATAATGCTATTAACATTAACAAACTTTGAATTATCTCTGATGCAAGAAATACTTGCTTAAATAATTCTATTTTCAATATAAGCGACAGGATGCAACAATCGGTTCGCAAGAACCAACATAGCCTTGAAGCCTGAACAACAGTAATTTCGATTGATGTTAATTTCTAAATTAAAATGTATTTAGCCAGTATTTCTTGCATCAGAGATACTTTCCAGTATTTCAATGCTAACAACATCAAAATTCATGCAGAAACGTAACCTTTTAATAGATTATACACTGTAATTTACGCTCCTAGTCCAAAGAACTGAGACCGATTTCAAATAAAAAATGACTAAATTGAATCCATCGCGCTTTCTGGCACCTTCTCTCACAGCTGATTGCAGTTGCAGTGCATTTTTTAGCTTAAGTTGCCAATACGTATTCAATGTAGTTACCCATAGTTCCGTTGGTACAAAACTTACAAAAGAACGTTGAATTATTGATTGCTAATTTCTTGCATTAGGTAAATGTTTATGATTCAAATTGATCATAGAAGTTGTACCCATAGAAGTAAAATTACCCATAGAAGCTGTGACGTCGCTCTGAGA